ATATATATATATATATATATATATATATATATATATATATATATTTTGAGGTGTTAAAAGGAACTGGTTTTGATCAGAAGACCAGACATCCACTGAGTTAGTTTTCAGGGAAATAAGTCTCTTAGTACTAGCTTTTAGGGAAGAACACTCTTATTTATAGCTCTAGAACTATCTCCCCACTAGGGTGTTTTTGTTTTTCTGAAGCTTTCTTTTGTAATACTCTCCATAACCCCAAGTGTCACAGTCTGCCAGGGGTCGACAGGAACCAGATTCTCTAGCATATGACTCCAGCCTCAATTCTATAGGGCACAAGGGTGTACCCTCACATTCTCCCCAATCATCCTTTTATTCTCTATTATTTCAGCTGGGCAATGTCAGAGGCTACTTCCTAAAATGCCTAGAAGATGGAAATGCAAGGAGTTACATGCATGTTTATCCTAGTAATGCCTTTTTTTTCTAGGAAGAGAAAAAGACTTAATAACCCGCAGCTTCTAAAGAAGAATTCTGTTTGTTTTCATTAATTTATAAATAAGCTTGTTTATTTTTTAAGCTTTGGGAATTGGTGGCAATACGTAGGGTACTGTCAGACAGAAAGCTTTATGACTATTTGAGTGGGGGCTATGAGTCAGAGAATCCAGAATTCTCCCAAGGAGTCAGGAGGAGAGCTCTGACAAAAGACTGATTTTGGCCTTGAGAGTGGAAGGTCTGAATTCTAGTCCTAGCTTTATCACTAAGTGACCCTACACAAGTGACCCTACTTAATCTCACTGAGCCTCAGCTTCCTCATCTGGAAAACTGAGGTAATAATACCTGTTCAGCCTATCTTACAAAGTTACTGAGAGAAAGCTGCAGATCTCTAAATAGTTGTGTTATTTTTATTCCTGCCCTTGTCCAAGTTTGGGGGTGACCAGGTGGCCTTCTCCTTCCTGTGGGTAGGAATTATGTGTAATTATTAGTGTTTGTGTAAGGAATGTATGAGACAAAAACTGTGATGTATAGTGGAGAGAACGGTGGATTCTAGAAAATGTCTGAGCAAAAAAGAAGGTATAGTTAACAATCAGTTAAGTGAGGGGGTTGGACTAGACGGTCTCTAAGACCCCTTGTAGTGCTGTCATTCTGGGTGTCTTTGAATCTATGTATTCTGTGCTTTAACCTTCTTTTCCTTCCTTCTTTTTCTTTCTTTCCTTCTTTTTTCCTTCTTTCTTCCTTCTTTCTTTCATT